TACATGTATATATATATATATATATATATATATATATATATATATATATAATGTGGGGTATGTGTGTATATTGGAATATTACTCAGCCATAAAAAGAATAAAGTCTTGTCATTCACAACTACATGGAAGGACCTAGAGAGTATTATACTAAGGGAAATAAGTCAGACAGAGAAACAAATATCATGTGATTTCATTCATATATGGAATCTAAAAACAAAGTAAACAAACAAACAGAGACAGACTCATAAATACAGAGAACAAATTGGCAATTGTCAGATGGCATGGGGCCAGAGGTGGTGAGGAAAATAGATGAAAGTCATGAAGAGGTACAAAATTCCAAGTATAAAATAAATAAGTCATGGGAATAAGAAGTACAGCCTGGAGACTATAGTCAGAAATACTGTAATAACTTTGTATGGTGACAGACACAGCTTACTGTGCTGAGCATTTTGTAATGTATATAATTTTCAAATCAGTATCTTGTACACCTGAAACTTATATAATATTGTATGTCAAGTGTAATTGAAAACAAAATTTTTTAAATCATCAGTTTATAATCAAATAAAGACAACAGCAGCAAAAGAACTCACTGGCCACCTTTGGAGGATATCCAGGAATAAATTCATTATCTGATAAAAGAAAATACTTGAAAATTTGTCCTAACTTTTCTTTATAAACTGTACATTAAGGTGACAAGACAATAGTAAAGAAAAGCTCTTCTACATAGAAGACTTCAAGTGTAAAATAAATGAAGAAGGAATTACAGAATAAGAATGATACTATTTTGAAAGCCTTAATGAAATATTGGATATAGGCAATTGGTATAGGTATTGGATATAGGTAATAATTGCTAAAACCATTAGGTAAAAGGCTGATGGGAAAATGGATAATGGATAGACTGAGTTAGAGGCTCCTGAACCCATTGATCAATTATGAAAACAGAAATGACCAGCCACCATGTATCTGAGATATAATACATAAAAAATATAACAGCACCACCTATAAAATATATTTGCAAACAATAAAATCTTAAATCTCATCAAGCATCTAGATCTGTTTACTGAAAATGTGGGGAGTATAAAGACAAGTATAAAGACACGTTCCCAAATAGATGGGGACCTAATTAGCAAAACTCAGAATGTAGGAGATTCTGTAGCACAAATAATCCTGCTTCTTTAACAAATAAATGTAATAAAAGAGAAATCTTTAGATTAAAAGAGATTTAAGAGACAGATCAACAAAATGCAATGTGTGATTAATCTCATTTGGATCCTGATATTAAGAAATCAGTGCTAAACTACTGGGTATATATCCTAAAGATACAAACGTGGTGCTCCGAAGGGGCACGTGCACCCGAATGTTTATGGCAGCAATGTCCACAATATGTCTACAATAGTCAAACTTCCATAGTTCCAAACTTCTAGGTTCCAAGAACCTAGATGTCCATCAACAGATGAATGGATAAAGAAGATGTGGTATATATATGCAATGGAATACTATGCAGCCATCAAAAGAAATGAAATCTTGCCATTTGCGACGACGTGGATAGAACTAGAGGGTATTATGCTTAGCGAAATAAGTCAATCAGAGAAAGACAACTATCATATGATCTCCCTGATATGAGGAATTGGTGATGCAATGTGGGGGGTTTAGGGGGTAGGAAAAGAAAAAATGAAAGAAGATGGGATTGGGAGGGAGACAAACCATAAAAAACTCAATCTCAAAAAACAGACTGAGGGTTGCTGGGGGGAGGGGAGACGGGAGAGGGTGGTGGGGTTATGGACATTGGGGAGGGTGTGTGCTATGATGAGTGCTGTGAAATGTGTAAACCTGGAGATTCTCAGACCTGTACCCCTGGGGATAAAAATACATTATATGTTTATTAAAAAATTTAAAAATTTAAATCAATCAATCAATCAATGCTAAAAAAAAGTCATGAGATAGTTGAGGAAATCTGAACACTAGATATTTTATGATTTTTAGCAGTGGTGAAACACATACACAGCCAGTCTGTGCCAGTTCATTAGTGCCAGCTGTGCACCTCTCTACCTAACCCTGTATTTTGTCTCTGTATTCAGTATTGTCATGCCAGAGGCTTGGAATTAGCCATTGTGGGAGTACTTATGCCACAGGAATTGGCAAGCACTACTAATCAGAGTTTTTTCATCTAGAGAGCCTGTTACTAAATATTTCCCAGGAAATCACTGACTTAAAGGATTATTATTATTACTATCATCATCATCATCATCATCTTCATCATCATCATCATCAAGGACAATAATGATTTTGTAGTTGTGTTTTTAGGAGTTCTTATCTTTTCAGATACATATTAAACCATTTATAGCTAAAATTATATGATGTCTGGGATCTGCTCTGAAATAATCTTAGAAAGAGTAGAGGAAGAGAAGGTATGGGCATAAATGAAAGAGTATTAGCCATATATTAATAAATTGAGGCTGCATGTTGAGCACATAGGGGTTCACTATTTTTCTCTGTGCCATTTGTTCATGTCTTCCAAATTCCATAAGAAAACACTTAAAACAAAACCACAAAGGTTCTCTGACACGTGGTGCCTGATCTCTCACTTGGCACTAGCCCACAAACACTTTTCATTGCAGTCCTATTTGCAGTTCCCTAAACATGCACGTCCTTCCATGTCCTTACAAATGGTTTCCACTATGCCTCACATTCCTTTCCCTCCCTCATTCTACCCCACAGTTTATCTCATTAAGCTCTTATTCATCCATTGGATCTCAAAATCATCTCACCTGGGATATAATATTAGATCCTATGACAGTCCTGCATGCTGAGCATATCTCTAAATAAGGATACAGCAGCTAGCACTTCCATGTGTCAGGTTCAAATAGTATGGGTTTAATCCACACTACAATCCTATGAGGTTAGTGCAATTATTAGCCTCATTTTCTAGATATGGAAACTTTATAATGAGGCTAAATGACCACCCCAAGGTAAATATTGGAGTAAAGATTCAAACCCACTCTTGACTCCAGAACTTACACTCTTTAGCACAACACTATGTTCCCTTGACAATGCTGTGCTGCCTTCGTTCCTCTACCATGGGACCTACAACCCCCTAATCTCTATTCACCTCTCCTCCCCATTAGACTGGAAGTTCCCCCCAAAACAACACCTTGATAATACTATTCCCCAAATATTAATGTTTACTGAGTATTGTGTGAATAACTATGCAGGTTTTCCTCTACACTAGTGGTTTTCAAACTATGTTCCTTTAAATCTTACAAGTCAGAAGTGGCACATGGGCCATTCTAATATGTGCCACCGTAGAGAAAGGATGACTGACCCTTACGATGCAAGTACAGAGCCTCAGAACCAGCCCCCCTGATTAACTAGTGCATGCTTTATGTACTGAACACTTGAAGTAAGTTTGAAGGAAGAGTCCTTCTACTAAGTCAAAAGTTTCAAAATCATTGCCCTAGATCTAGTCAGTGTGCCTTCATTCTAACCATCTTCAGAAGGCAAGGGATATCTTCTTGGCTATGTTATTGAAAGTAAATTTTCCCAGTATCCTGGAATGTTTACACTGTTTCTTTACATTTAAATCTTCTGAATATGCCTGAATTCTTATTCTAGGTTTATTACTCTGAATTGTAAAACCTCTGGAATGGGAGAAGATATTTGCAAATCTCTTATCAGATAAAGGGCTAGTACCCAAAATCTAAAAAGAACTTACCAAACTCAACACCCCCCAAAATCCAAATAATCCAGTCAAGAAATGGACAGACAACATGAACAGACATTTCTCCAAAGAAGACATACAAATGGCTAAAAGACACATGGAAACATGCTCAATATCTCTTGGCACCAGGGAAATACAAATCAAAACTACAATAAGCTACTACCTCACAGCAGTCAGAATGGCTAAAATTAATGTCAGGAAACAGATATTGGTGAGAATGTGGAGAAAGGGGAACACTCTTACACTGTTGGTGGGAATGCAAACTGGTGCAGCCAGTTTGGGGCACATGCACCCTAATATTTATAGCAACAATAACCACAACAGCCAAACTCTGGAAAAAGCCCAGATGTCCATTGACAGATGAGTGGATAAAGAAGAGATGGTATGTGTGTTTGTGTGTATACACACACACACACAAACATACATATATGTATATATAGATATATATTTTTCAATGGAATATTACTCAGCCATCAAAAAGAATGAAATCTTGCCATATGCAACAACATGGTTGGAACTAGAGGGTATTGTGCTAAGTGAAATAAGTCAGAGAAAGACAAATACCATACAATTTCTCTCATATGGAATTTAAGAAACAAAACAAACGAACATAGGGGAAGAGAAGGAAAAATAAGATGAAAAGTGAGAAAGAGGCACATCATAAGAGATGTTGAACTCTAGGAAACAAACTGAGGGTTGCTGAAGGGAAGAAGGGTAGGGGAAGGGATAATTGGGTGAGCATTAAGGAGGGCATTTGATGTGGTGAGTACTGGACGTTATATGCAACTGATGAATCACTAAATTCTGCCTCTGAAACTAACAACAACAATAACAACAAAAACCCCAAAACAAAAACAAAACAAAACAACACCTAAAAGTAATCACAACAAAGAATTGCTTTTCGCTCCCCAGTAATTTACGTCCTATTTTTTGAGCTAAGCCTTTCCCTTCTCTCTTCTGTCCAAAGCCTATCCCATGCTTTTACTCCCAGGAGATGCTTACCTCCTCCAAGTAGGGCATGACATCCCACAGTGACATGTAGTATTCTGTTATCACTGACTTATATACAGCCATAGGTATTGAATCTTGGTTGGGAGGCTTGTGAATCCCTGCAATGAAAAACAGGAGACTGGGCCATTCTGAGATCCTACCCCAACCCCCTTCAAGGGCACCACCCCAAACCACCAAGAATGAAGGGCCCAGTCCATCACAGGACATGCCTTCCCAATTCCAGGAAGAATCATAAGGTAGGAAGTAAGTGAGTGGGATTCCTTTCATATCTATAGGCTCTGAGGCAGGAGGCCCTGCTGTCCAGGAAAAGAAGGTGGCACCTCAATGCCACTGCTGTACCAGTAGTTCTCAACCCTGGTACCTCATTAGAATCTCCTAAAGTCCAATGAGAAAATACATATGCTCAGATTCTGCCCCTTCCTCCCCATTTCAACCAAGAAATGCTTTCTAATAGCTCTGGGATAGACCTGGCATCTCTGGTTTTTACAAGTTCCACAGAGGATTCTGATGCACAGCCCATGATGCACATGGCCTTAGGTGCTGAGAACCTAGAGGGTGGGCCCTGTATTTGGGCATATTTGAATCCCCGGTGCCTAATTATAAAATAAACTGGAACAAACTGGGTATCTCCCAAAAGTACACCTTTATCCATTCCCTCAATCCCCTCTTCACAGGACAGAGACCAATTGAGATGCTGAGTTACTGTTACTGTTCTCATCTGAGTTACTGTTCAGATTGAGATTGTTACTAGGTACCCAAAGAAGAGCTAAAGAACTCTTGATATGCAAGGTACTCAGTTGTACGTTCTCCGTTCTCTGTCAGCAGTGCCCCATAGTCTGAAAAATATAAAGAAATTTGTCACTTTCCCCAAAGAAATCTTCAGCTTCAGCAAAGGAAGACATGAGAGTTTAGTAGTGAGCAAAAGGATCCTTAATACAGAAGCTTAGGAAGGAAAATTTTTGGCATTAAATAAGAAAATACCACATCCCAGTTAATCCAAACCAGGAGCTATCTGCCGTACTTTGCAGGGCTTTCAACTGGTATCTAGTAAGTCCTGGCTGAGAGCCCAAGGCTACTCCAATCCAGTGGTTTCTACTTTCTATTCAATTTCTAATTAAGTTTGTTTGTTTGTTTGTTTCTTTCTTTCTTTCTTTTACCCTTGACTTGTCACCTGGTCTCTCAGTGGAGTTATAGACTGGGGAAGACCCATTAACAAAAGCCCTGGTGTTATCAAGAGATCCAGAGTAACTGGTTTCACAGTGAACTTCTAAGAATAAGGGCCTGCAACGTGGATAGATAAGATTAAGCTACCAAGGCCTCTGCCTCCAAAGTCCCAGACAGGCTAGATTCTAGTGGTGGATAAATTCTAGTACCATCAAGAGGAATAAACATCAAACCTTCAATCCCCAGCATTTGTTAAAGGCAAAACAGATGAACAGGCCCAGAGATTGTTCCCAGAGACCCACCCTAGGAAGCTCCAGGCTCAAATGGCGGGGTGGCCTAGGTTGGAGACAGCTGTGGGGGTCAAGTACTTGCCATAGCTTGTGACCATAGGGAGGTACTGGTCCAAAGATGCAGATCCACCCATAAAGCCAAAGTTGGTGCCACCATGGAACATATAGAAGTTGAGGGAGAAACTAGCATTGAACATTTCATGCACATCTCTCATTAACACTGCACAAAGATAGGAAGAAAAGGAGAAATGGGGGAGAAAACAAAGTTTGGGAGAATTAATAGACCTTTGTGGGATGTTCAAACTGTACGCATTAAATATTTGTTTATGTGTCTTAGTCTTAGGTAAATAGATGTCTAGCTCAGTGTTTCTGGAGCACTTAGTAACTTTTCAGTAAATTCTAGGTAACTTCTTTAGTAACCTAAAATTGTGGCACCAGAAACATTTACTTCAAACCAGATTTGATCTTCATCAACTCTCCTGGAAGGCTGTGGCAGATAGTCTCGGCCCAGAGAACACACTACTTCCTCCCAGTACGCTTTCATTGAATTGCCCTATCTGTTAGAACGACTCACTCTAATGCTTTAATAACCTCAACAAAATATAAGCAGAGTGGAAACACCGCTAAAATTTTAGTTTCAACTCACTCTGGGGTTCCCATTCAGCCTAGCCCCCTAAATCTAATACTCAAAGTACTCTAACCATCAGGAAAAAAAAAGAAACAGGCCAGTGCCATCTCTGTTATCTATTCTCCTGAGAAAGGATCTAAAAGTACTCACAATGTGAATCCACAGAATGGGGGGCAGTACCCCACCCATCCAAAGAACTTGCTGTATACACCGTCATCAATATAGGGCTACGACCCTGAGAAAAATGAAATGTCAATTTAGTAAAGTTCGGTACAGTTTAGAAGCCCTGAATTGCTTAGGAGAGCATTGTGAGGTCCAGTTCTCACAAACCCCCTTTACAATTCAGAGCATCCCCTCACCGCTCACAAACCCTGAGTTCTACTCTTCATTCTCAGGTCATTTCCCTGGTCTTATTATTCCTTTTGGAGTTTGAATGGACTTATCCCTTAGGCTTTGGTAAAAGCAACTGCCATCGCCACATTTTCCTTTCTGGAACAGTAGAATCTCTTCATTCCCTTCAGTGACCAGATTAGAGGTCTAGTATAGAAGCATCTGGCTCAGGGGAAGCCTAAAAATATTCAATAAATGAATGCTAAAAATATTGAATCCCATTAAATAAGAATCCCTGAGTCTCAGAATTGTGTTTTGTTTGTATTCAAGTATAAATAACACACAGCATTCTAATAGTTTCAGGTGTACAATATAATAATCAACAATTCTGTACATTTCTCACTTCTTATCCTGTATACTTCGTTCCCTTCATCTATTTTACCTATCACCCCCAGTCACCACCCCCGGCAACTGTGGATTGAAAAAACCAGTATTTAAATTTGTTGTCTCTTTTTTTATTTGTTTGTTCATTTATTTTATTTCTTAAATTCCACATGAGTCATATCATATATCTTTCTCTTATTTCACTTAGCATTATACCCTCTAGATCTATCCATGTTGTTGCAAATGGCAAGATTTAATATATATATGAATATATATATGAACATATATATATGAGTATAGACACACCATGGAATATCACATGTATTTATAAAATAATCACATTTTTATATATACACTATTGAAATACATATACATTATTTATATACATATGAAACAATCACATTTTCTTTATCTATTCATTGCTTATCATACACTTAGACTGTTTCCATACCTTGGCTCTTATGAATAATACTGCTCTGAACATAGGAGTACAGATATCTCTTCAGGATAATTATTTCATTTCCTTTAGCATATATACCCAGAAATAAGACTTCTAGATCATATGGCAGTTTTATTTTTAATTTCTTTATTAACCTCTATACTATTTTCCACAGTGATTGTACCAGTTTATATCTCTACCAACAGTATATGAGAGTTTTCTTTTCTCCACATCCTTGCCAGCATTTGTTATATCCTGACATCCTAACGGGAGTGAGGGGATGTCTTATTGTGGTTTGATTTGCCTTTTCCAGATGATTAGGGATACTGAGCAGCTTTCATGTACCTATTGTACATCTACAGGTCTTCCTTAGAAAAATGCATAATGCAGGCCCTTTGCTCAGTTTTGGTTAGGTTACTTGGGGTTTCTTATTTTGCTATTGAGTTGTACAAGATATTATATATTTTGGATATTAACCTGTTATCAGATATGTGATTTACAAATATTTTCCCCCATTTCCATAAGTTTCCTTTTCATTTTATTGATGGTCTCCTTTGCTGTGCAGAAACATTTTACTCTGATATAGTCCCAGTTGTTTATTTCCGCTTTTGGTGTCAAATGCAAAACACTACTACCGGGGCACCTGGGTGGCTCAGTGGGTTAAAGCCTCTGCTTTCGGCTCGGGTCATGATCTCAGGGTCCTGGGATCGAGCCCCACATCGGGCTCTCTGCTCAGCAGGGAGCCTGCCTTCCCCCTCTCTCTCTGCCTGCCTCTCTGCCTACTTGTGATCTCTGTCAAATAAATAAATAAAATATTTAAAAAAAAAACAAAAAACAAAAAACAAAACACTACCACCAAGATCAATATCAAGAAGCTTATGCCTATCTTTTCTTCTGGGAGTTTTGTGGTTTCAGATCTTATGTTCATATCTCTAATCCATTTTGGGTTGATTTTTGTGTATGACTTAAGATAGAAGTTAGTTTCATTCTTTTGCATGTGGATATCCAATTTTCCCAACACCTCATGTCCCCAGAGGAAATCTCACTTGATCATGATGTGTGATCCTTTTAATGTATTGTTGAATTTGGTTGCTGATATTTTATTGAAGATTCATGCATCTACGCTTATCACAGATCTTGGCCTGTAATTTTCTTTTCTTATAGTGTCCTTGTCTGGCTTTGGTATCAGAGTAATGCTGGTCTCATAAAATGAGTTTGGAAGCATTTTCTCCTTTCTATTTGTAGAAGAGTTTGAGAAGGATTGGTGTTAGTTTTGCTTTAAATGTTTGGTAGAAATAAGCAGTGAAACTATCTGGTCTTGGATTTTCCTTTGTTGGGGAGGTTTTGATTACTGATTTAGTCTTCTTACTAATACTTGGTTGGTCTGTTCAGATTTTCTCTTTCTTCATTATTCAGTATTAGTAAGCTGTATGTTTCCAGGAATTTATCTATTTCTTCTAGGTGGTCTAATTTTTTGGCATATAATTGTTCATACTAGTAGAAGATATGATCCTTTATATTTCTGTGGTACCAGTTGTAATTCCACTCTTTCACTTAAAATTTTATATAATGAATCTGATCTCTTTTTTCTTAGTATAGTTCAGTTTGTTAAGTTCATCTTTTTTTTAAAAAATGTGGTTTCATTGATCTTTTCTATTGTCTTTCTCATCTCTATTTCATTTATTTCTCCTCTGATCTTTGTTATTTCTTTCTTTCTACTAACTTTGAGCTTAATTTGTTCTTTTTCTAGTTCCTTGAGGTAAACTGTTGTGTTTTTGATTTGAGGTCTTTTCTTTCTTAATGTATGTGTTTATCACTATAAACTTCTTTTTTAGAACTGCTTTTGCTGCTTCTCATAAGTTTGAGATGTTGTGTTTCCATTTTTATTTGCTTCAAGATTTTTAAAAATTTCTTTTTCCATTTATTTGACCAGTTGGTTGTCCAGGAGCATGTTGTTTAATCTTCACATGTGAATACTTGTGAATTTGTGAATATTGTGAATTATTCAGTTTTTTTCCTTGTAATTATTTCTAGTTTCATACCATTATGGTCAGAAAGTATAATTTCAATCTTCTTAAATTTATTAAAACATGTTGTGTGACCTAACATATGGTCTATTCTGGAGAATGTTCCATGTGTGCTTGAGAAAAATGTGCATTCTCCTGCTGTTGGTCGGAATTTCTGTATATATTCTGCAGGTCCCTCTGGTCCAACATATAATTTAAGTCTCATGCTTCTTTATTTAGTATCTATCTAGATGACCAGTCCATTGTTGGAACTGAGGAATGTAAGACCCCTACTGGGATTGTATTGCTGTCTATTTCTCTGTTCAGATCTGTTAATATTTGCCGTATATATATGGGGCTCCTATGTTGGGAACATAATATTTACAATTGTTATATTCTTTTGATGAATTGACCCCTTTGTCATCATATAAAGACATTCTTTGACTGTTGATACAGAGCTTGTCTTAGTCTATTTTGTCTGCTATAAGTATAGCTACTCCCTGATTTGTTTTATTTGTTTTGGCTTCTATTTGCTTGAAATATCTTTTTCCACCCCTTCAATTTCAGTCTGTGTGTATTCTCAAAGCTGAGGTGAGTCTGTTGTAGCCAACAGATGGTTGGGTCTTTTTTTTTTTTTAATCTATTCATTTACTTTGTGTCTTTTGATCAGAGGATTTAGTTCCATTTTAAATTTAAAGTAATTATTGATAGGTATTATGTTAATGCTTTTCTGGTTTTTTTTTTTTAATAATTCTTTTGTTCCTCTCTTGATCTCTTCCTCTGTAGTTTGATGATTTTTCTGTACTGGTAGGCTTTGATTCCTTTTTCTTTATCTTTTGTATATCTACTACAGGGTTTTATTTTGTGGTTACCAGGAGGATTACATAAAACATCTCATATTCATAGCAGCCTATACTACTAATAACAGGTTAACTTCAAACATATACTTTACATATTTAACCTTCTCCTTACCTTTTATATTTTTAATGTCACAATTTACTTCTTTTTACCTAATGTATCATTTAAAAATTATTGTAGTTATAATAATTTTTAATACTTTTGTCTTTTAACCTTCATACTGGAGTTAAATTTATTTACCCATGACATTATTCTCTAAATTTAACTATACATTTACCTTTACCAGTGAGTTTTATACTTTCATGTGTCTTCCTGTTACAAATTAGCTTTTTTTGTTACTAATTAACTCACCATTTCTTTCAGCTTAAAGAACTCCTTTTAACATTTTTTTGTGAGGCTAGTCTGTTGTGATGAACTCCTTTAGCTTTATCTATCTGGTAAATCCACTGCTCCTTCAATTCTGAAGGACACCTCACTGGGTAGGGTATTCTGGGTTGGTGGTTTTTTTTTTCTTTTTTCTTTTGGCACTTTGAATATATCACCCCATTTTTTCTGGCCTACAAGATTTGTGTTGAAAAATCTATGGCAGCCATAAGGAGGGGGCAAAATTAAGATGGTGGAGTATTAGGGGGACCCTGAATTTGCCTTTCCCTTCAAATACAGCTAGATCAACATTCAACTATTTTGAACAACTAGGAAGATGATCTGAGGATTAAGAAAATCTGCACAGATGGAGGGAGAGAACATAGCAGATGCAATGTTTGGAATCATGAATTGGGAGCAAGGAAAGCCTCATGGTCATTGAGGGGAGGGAACCCTTTTCGTGGAGCAAAATCAGGAAGAGAGAGAAAGTGGGAAAGAACCCAGTGGGTAGGGAGTGCACAATAAATCTTGGTAAGGAGATCCTCTGGGTAGCACAGTGAGAGATCACTCCCCTTCCTGAAGGGCATTTGGAAGAGCATATTTTGCTTCTCCAAGGACAAAAGGCCAGCCAGGAGACATTGAGTGGTGCTCAACAGCAGAGTCAGAGGTGCATGCAGAGGACAGAAAGCCTCTTAACTTTTTGTTAGGAGTCACAATAGGTTTAAATCTCTGTGCACACAGCAAGTGGCTGCTTTTCTTCAACAGAACTAAGCAGAAAGTAAAGATAGGAGCAGACTGCAGATAACCTGGCCACCACTTTTTGCTGTCTGCCACAATAGATGCAAGCCTCTGTGA